CCTTGAGGGACTCGGGCTTTGCGGTAGCGTCATCTTCTTCGAGTGGCTCCGGCTCCAACTCCTCGAGATCTTGGGACCTGTCGCCAACAGTGGAAGGGTCTGTAAGCTCAGTCTTGTCAGCTTGAGATGGCTCGGTCTCCGATTGAGTGTTGTCTCCAGTGGTGAGCTTGCCGTTCAGTTCTTGTGGGGCGGAATCCTGGAGGTCCACGGGTGCCACTTCGGAGGTCTTGTCGTTGACCTCGAAGAGGCTCTTCTTGGCGTCCTCTGTCAGGGAGATCTTGTCCTCGACGTCGTCAGGTTTATTGGAGAGGAGCTGAGTGAGCTTCTCATCCTTCTCGGTGACGGTATCGTCGCGTTCCAGAGGCTGGGTGCCGCCCAAAACGCCGCCAAGAAGGCCTGATTGCTCGCCCTTCTCACTCTTGCCGCCGCCGATGACACTACCGAGTGTGCCACCGACAATGCCAGACTGTGACTTCTCGTCACCGCCGCCGAGGACGCCGGAGAGGAGACCACTTTGACCATCGCCACCGGTAACACCGCCGAGGACACCGCCCTGGCCTTCACCCAGACCAATGCCCTTCGTCAAGTCGCCGACGAGAGGCAATGTCCTGTTGACGGTCTGAACAGTGCCGTCGACAGTGTCGACGATGCCCTTGACGCCCTTGGTAGCGCCCATAATGCTGAAGCTTCCGCCCTCCTTGCTCTCACCTCCGGCAACACTCTCGGTGAGCTCGCCCAAAGGCAGGGCTTTGCCGATGACACCACCGTCCTTTCCGATGATGTCTCCGGTCGCTGTCACGACGTTACCGACGAGATCGCCAGCTTCGCCTTCTGTGACCTTGCCGACAGTCTTGCCGGTCTCGTCTACGACCTCTCCTGTCTTGCCGATGACACCGGCAACGAGGTTCTCGCCATGGTCTTGGATATCTTGCTCAACGGAGTATGCTGAGACGCGTTAGTCGTGAAACTTCGAATGCTATGTGAGTTGATTACTTACTTGACTTCTGTTCTTCACCCTTCCCCCATCCACCAGGCATGCTGCTTCCTGATTTTGAGGCAGCGCCAGCCATGATGTCGGTTCGGTGCCTGAGGTACAGTAGTCCGGAAATGTTGGGCAACTTTTGCGCGTGTAAGTAAGTGGGTTAAAATGGAATAATGTGGCTAATACGAAAAGATGTAGTAGCCCATGAGATGAATGCTTTGAATGGAGAGTCGAAAGTCAAAAAAGCTACAATCACCTGCCGGTCGGACGTCTTATACCAGAAATCCTCACACACCAAACCAAGTTTCCAGCTCTATGGCCTCACCCAACCTTACGTCAAGGGGAGCTCAAGCTTGGGGAGCTCTTCGAAGCTCTGGCCTGCTCTGGCTTGTTCGCGCCACATCTGTGACTTCATGTGGAAGAGATGGTCGGCTCGTCTGCCGCCCATCATGACGCAAAGCCACACTCGTCCGAGCACGCGAAAGGGGTTGACAGACTCTGGGATCCCAGTCTCATGACGCAAGTTGACTTTTGAAAAGCAACTGCACCTTGCGAGATGGTGTGACAGTCTGCCAGTCGGGCGAGTTGCCATTGGCTTATGGGGTTGATCGCCCGGCCTCCATCTTGGAGCTTCCCAGTTATGTGTGGCTAGTGCATTCAAGGGCCCTCCCTGTTCTGCATCATCCATTCGTCAGATCCCCCACCAGCTACACCCCAGACGCTGCTTTCTGCCCTCCAACACTTTCTTTTGCAAATGAGGATTGCGAAGTTCGCAAAGGCTGGACTGCTATGCAGCATTTCCCCATGCACAACCAACGTCATGACGCTCTTCGAAACACGGGCGCCAGCCTTTTATTCGCCACACTCAGGAATCGAGCAGTTCCCTCGCCGCGAATATGCGCCCGCTCAAATTTGGGGTTCTGGACTTCACCCACCTTTCAGCCTTACTAGTGGACGGTTCAACGGGGGTCTCAAATGCACGTTATTCAGGTCTTGCATTGCCAAATACGGGTTCCATTGGAACGACATCTCGATCCCAGCCTATCAGGCCCGACTCGCCGCCGTCTGAACGCCGCCGCATGCCAGCATCTATAGAACCATTCCAGAACTCCATGATCGACATCTCCATTCAGTCGCAGAATTCCCGTCAAAATATTACCCAGTTCCAACATGAATATTTGGCACCCCGCCACCATTAAATACAGTTGGGATTTTGATAATGAGCTGGATGCCGTCATGTGTCGACTTCACGTCCATGAAAACCTCGGATGGACTTGGGGCAGACGATGGTTTAGGTCGACCGCAGCTGCAGTTCTCGTGAGAGGGCGCGCTGTTATGCGCATTCTCCGCTGGGCGCGCGCCGTTTGACTGCCCAGAAGCATTGCCTGCTGGTTGCCCAGGCTTCTGGAGGCCTTTGCCCAAGTGCGCGCCGTCGAAGTGGCCGACGACGTTATTGTTCTTGTCGAGTATGTTGCCCATGTGGTCCACCTTCAGTCCATCGCCCATGCCCTCGATGGGCTTTGGCGACGGAGGCGTCGGTGGAATCGTGTCGTTCTCTGCTACATAACCAACGACTTCGCCGTCCGCGCTGAGGATCTCGCCAGTCACAGAAACAGGCCGTCCGATCATCGACGGCAAGTCACCCTCGACACGACCAAGAACCTGTCCGTTCCAGTCGAGGATGTTTCCGAACTCATCGACATACTTTCCCTCCAGTCCATGCGCCAGCTGAGCAAGGTTAGGAGGAATAGTCAGGCCAGATGCCACAGGTGTGATTCTTGGAATCCGGATGGGGGCATTCTTCCCCTCCGGCTCCTTGCCCTTGGGGCTGGTTGACCCAGCTGATGTGCCCTTTGACTCCTGAAAGTCTTGTGTGCCATCATCCGTGCGGCTGTTTGTTGTATCTGCTGACGATGGCGTCGAGTCTTTCGGCACGCTCTGTCCCTGCGTGGAAGACTTCCTCACCGGGATGGGTATCTCCCGCGAGCCCTGTAGATGATAAGGCCCGCCCTGGCCTTGCGGCTGTGGGGTGCCTGTGTTGCTGCTTTGCCGAGGGGGAGGTTGCGGAGGAGTGGTTTCAGCTGGTGGAGCTGGCGAGCCAGGCGCTCGCGACGACGAATTCAGACGAGGCAGTGGTGGCCGGATGTTGCGTCGTGGGACCTCTTCTACCCCAGCTTCATCGTCGTCGACTTCAACAACCTCATATTCATCGTGTCGGGAAGTATGGTCTGGATCGCCGCCAGATGCAGCTCGGGGCTCGGCACGCTGCATGGTATGCGACGAGGGTTTGGGATGTTCGGGGACGGCCCTTTGCAGAGTCCGCGGTGTGTTCAGCGTCGAGGCTGGGCTTTCGGGTTCTTCGTTATGAGCTGTGGGGGGAATCGGCCGAGAAGGAGGGGATGCCGTCATTATTGGATGACCACAGAAGGTCCTCTGCAAGCAATCGTACTGCGCGTCAGCTGGGGCTCGCTTTCATGGTGAGGGGAAGCATGGCCAGGATGGCCAGCACAGGACCAACAGAGAGAAGGAAAGGAATACGGACACCCACCTGAGGATCGCCTTGCTTCGGAAATCAGGCGTTGAACTCGACTCCGATCGAGAGACTGTGCTGATGTGTACGTTTCTCGGTGCACCCCTTGAGCAGTTACCTCACGCGGACGGGGCTTATCTGCTCTGGCAGGTGCGAGACGCGGGCAGCGCTTGTGCCAGGTCTGCAAGGCAGAAGGGGGTCGGTTTTGTTGCTGTGACGTCAGGAAGACGATGGATCGAGTGTGGGTACGCTGCCGCCGTGACAGATGCTGGGCAGCTGGGGCAGCTTGAGGTTCCAGAACTGGCGAACGGGGCGACGGTTCACCTTGTCAGGATGTCTTGCAAGGGTGATGGGATCAAGTACTTGTCGAACCGAGATCTGGTGTCTCCACTGGCTCCAGACACACGCAAGCGTATCCACCAGGTACTTCGGAGAACAACAAGAAGAAGGAAGCGTGGGAGGGATTGCTGGCGGGTGGTGAAGATGGCAGAATGGAAACGAGACAAGACTCCGCAAGAGGCGCCGGCTCAGCGCAGAGATTGGAGGGCAAAAGGTCCGACACGTCTGGCAAAAGCCTGTTTCCTGGTCGAAACCAGAACAGCTGTGCGAGTCTCCGTGTTCCTCAGTGGTTGGGCTTTTTTGCTTTCGAACTACTGTACAGACGGAACGCACGGCTAGCCGTCAACGAATGCTGGAGGGTAGAGCACGGAGAACTAGGTGGACAGTTGCGCAAGCTGCGTAGGCTGCAGCGCTATCCCGGCCGGGATATGGCAGCTTAGAGACACCTTTGGCGGTGCAGAAGCTTCGAGCCAGCGACACAGACTCTGAAGAAGGGCCGGAGACGACCACAGACATCTACAGACCGGCGGCAACCGAGTAAACTCCAGATGTGGCTCAGCAGGTGATCAGCTTCATCACAAGTTCGGTATGGCGTTCATGCCCGGGAGAGCTTCACCAGGCCTTCAGATACGTCTCGAGTTTGTCCAGACGGTGTCCGAACCGGGGAATGCGTCTTAACGGATGGCGGATATTGTGCTGATCTCGATGGTGTTCCCGACGAGGCAATGAATGGCAAAGAGGCAGAGAGTCGACAAGAGCCCAGAACAAAGGAAATGAGACGGGAGCGAACGATCGGCGCAAAACGTCCTCGGCAGGTGGCTTGACGGTTGAGACTGGTTGGCAGTCGCTTAAGAGACACACCACGCGAACGGACGGAAGCCGATGTGAGTGGCTGATGGCCTCATCCGGTGTGCCGGGATGCGACGCAAGAATTTCCCATTAAGCTACGGTTTCCCTGCACGACCACCAGCGTTTCGACCGTTCCGTTCCCCGCCGCTGATGGTCGAGACGGTACTGTGGATGCAGTCCTTCTTGGGTTGCATTGGCAATGGGCGGTGGGGAACAAGGGAACAGGGGGGCCGTTCCACCGTTACATTGGGCGGCGGGCAGGCACGCACACTCTGCACACTGACCAAGTTACATCGCATCATGTGGCGGCGACGACGCGTCGACATTGGACGGTCTAGGAAGGCCGAAGCCGGTGTGGCTGGAGAGTTTGCTTGCGAGTTTCCAGACCTTTACCTGCAGAGTTTTTTTGCTTTTCTGCTCCTGAGTTTTCCGGTGAGTGCTTCGGTTAGAGAGGCTGAAGCTGAGATGCGGGCATGATCCTGTCAAGAGACTTCAATCCTGTTGAGTTGTCGTCTTGGGCAGACAACACTAACGCTAGGGCCAGGAGCAAAAGCGCACCGAAAGCAAGGCACAGAGGGAAGCACCCGCAGTAGCCTCAAGCACCGTCGATTTCGCAACGTGTGGCTAGTCGCTCTTCAGCCCCCTCCGTTAATGCCTCCCGATGGCACTAGCGCCGGGGAGGATTGGACAATAATATTGTGCTGGTGGTGGGTGGACTCGACCCCACAGTCGTATTGGAGATTCGCCCCATTCATAAGATCAACGGCACCAAAAAGTGAAACGCAGAGTGGCTAGGCGGTAGAGAGATTGGCGCTACGAACGGTTTACTGGCAACCGTCTCCGCCAGTTCCGCCCTTTCGCGTGCTTGACGGCGGTTGTTAACACACATGGTTTGGCTTGCCTTCTCCGCACGAGCTTGTGTAACTAGCGGGTGGCTGAGAGCACAGATGGTGTGCTGAAACCAACTACACACGCTGACATGGCCCGCAGAGAGGAGGGCCAGCATCAACTCGGGGGTAGCGAATTGGGAATGCAGGTGGTTAATCACGGCTGCTCACGGTGAAGTATCGCGCATGTGACAGTAATTTGATCAAATACCATGAAAGTGTTTAGAATGCTTTGGCTAACGTGGAAGAGGATTCCCATAAAAACTTCCCGAAATAGTGTCCATATCTCATCATGATGGTGGTGATGCACAATTATTTCATAATACACGCGGCAGATGGATACCGATATCCCATCCGTCCACCAACTCCCCCCTGTCTGCGAACCAACCGTTTTCCCTCACGGTTGGGCAGCCAGGGTCAACAAAAAAAAAACCCACACTTTCCAGCAAACTGTGTCGAAAATTCGCCCACTGTATTCCCGCGACTCCGTTTAAAACCCGATAAGTTGTTTATTGCCGTTTTTAAGATTTGTCCCTGGAGAAAACGCCTCTCAGTTCCTGATTAAAAGACGAGGAAAAGCCCATTAGCCCATTATGAACTTGGCCTAACTAGCCCGTCCTTGTCTCTCGGTAAGAAAATAGGACGGAACGGGATAGTCTGACGAGATAGAGGGGGCCGCAACTGAGGAATGAGGAAAAAGGTCAGTACTTACAAGAGGGCAAGCTCAAGGTCACCGTGAATGCGCGCCTTCAGCGTGATTTCGATATCCAGGTTGAGGTCGAGACGCAACCTCAGGGTGTCGCTCTTGTCACCACCACCGCCGCCGCCTTGTTGCAGAGCACCGCCGGCGACGTTGCCTAGTGTGTTCTGAACACCACCTGTGACGCCCTGGACAGCCTCGGTAGGGTTACCTCCTCCAAGGCCGCCGAGGGGGCCGCCCTGTTGACGGCGCTGCATTTGCCTGTTGCCCTGGCGGCGCTGGCGGCGCTGAGGCTGCTCCTGCTGCTGGGTGTCCTCGGAGGTCTCCTCGTCGGAGGCGTACTTGGTGTTGTTCTTCTCGCGGGGGGAAGACATGTTGACGGTCTAGATGGCTTGTTGATGGAAGTTCGAAGATGGGCTAATGGACTCTCTCCTTCCCGTCGGTGTGAGATGGGAAACTGAGGAATTAAGGGCTGTGGATTATATGCGAAGGTTTGTGAGTGCTTCTTCAAAGTTGTCCTCGATCGATGAGTCGCGGATGAGGGTGCAACATATAACTGATTCCGGACAGTATCCGGAAGCAGTCAAAACAGGATGTAAAGCTTACACCCTCTTCGGCCGATGAGATCATGTTGGACCCTGGGGGACCCAGGATTTCCACGGTAGATGTTTTCACCCCTTCGACTTTTTGCGTCACACCACTCGAGTCTCGAGGTGTTCTGGACCGAAATGACGTTGAAGGAGGGCCAAGCGGCATGCGGAGGGGGGGCGGAATCAATGGGGCTGCTGGGGCGGTTGGACCTGTCTCATGCTCTCGATGAGCGGTCCCGATCTGCTCTGGCGCCGAGTCCATTCTACTCTCCACCACACAGTCAGTCACTCCAGAAACCTTTGATTGGAAGAGGGTGTCGAGCATCCCTGTCGCTTTTCTCTCGGATTTGCATCGCAAAGCCTTACTGCAGGCTGTAGCCCAATCATGCTCACACCACGGGCTCGAGGGTCATCACATTGCCAATGCAGGCATGACGCACCATTACTCTATTCTCTGCGATCAAACAAGCTTCTCGTAAGTCAGCTTTGCGCCTCTTTCGGTGCCTCGCAAGCCAGGCTTGACAGGCATTGTGGTTTTTCGCACTGACGGAGTGCGGGTTCATGGGTTACAGATACCAACTATGCCAAATCCATGCAAGCTGTGCAGAAACCTCGAAGGAGCCGTGCTGTGCGTCGTTGGTGGTCTATTCGCACATGCTGCCAGAAGGCTCCTCCAGGTTTCTGGTTTCTCCCCGCGCCTTCTTTCAATACACACCCCTCCCCTTTCCTGGCTTCTACGGTGTTCACCACCATCCGGAAAAAAGAGGCCTAGCTATTGTTCAATCTCGAACATATGCGCTCTCAATGCCTAGCGCCATCTGTCGCCGCAGGACAATCTCTATACACTCATCCGGCTCGTACCCTTGCCGCAGCCTCCCGTCCGGATCCCAATACACCGCCCATCTGCCGTCGTCTTCGAGGGCAGCCACAAACCCCATCCCACTGCCTCTCAGCATCAGATGCCTCTCATCTTCAGTCCAGCCCCAGGGTCCTATGACGTGGCCGATTGTGTCTTTACGACCTCCGTGCCGGACGGCTCGGGTATCGGCGTCGACATAGATCCAGTTCAGCATCGGCGGATCATCCGCGATGGTTGATACCAGCCCGCGGTAGTTCTCTTCGGAGGGGTAATTGAAGTAGTACCCTGAAAACTTGTGTCCCGGCGCTGGAGCCATGCTGTGGTTTATCCAGAGCTGGGGTAAAGAAAGACTGCATGTTAGTTTGCTGTTGTGGATGGGATGTGTGATGGTGGATGTGTGCGACTAGTGTGTAAGTCGAGCAAAGGCTGGGCTGGTGTGTGGGTGGGTGGGTGTGGCCAGAGACGCCGCCCCTCCCCCATTCCCAACGGTGGGAAAAGAGACAAAAAAGCAAGTTGCAAGTGCACCTTGCAGATGATTGACGAGATGATACGCAAGAGGGTTGCAAAAAACGAGGGCAAACTTGCCTTGTTGTCGACGAGGACGCAGGGCGCTTCTTCCCGCTTGCCGTCGATGGTCATGGTCGCCGTGAGGCTGAACTTGGCCTGCTCTTTGGCGGCGGCATTCTGCTTCTTCTGCGCGCTGACGGCCTGCCCGGTGCCGATGACTGTGGGGATGGCGGCGATGGTGAGTAAGCCGATGACCATGTTTCGAATTCTTCTCCTCTGCGCAGAGAAGAGGGCCTGGAGGAAACAAGAGAGGCGAGAAGAGAAGAAGGGGGATTGGTTCCGCGTGGGAGAAGTGGACTGTCCAGACTGTCTGTCCAGGCACCTTGGGACTGACTCTCCCTCTCTCTCGGGACTCGGACGTGTCAAAACCGTGTGAACCGCGGGGAGGCGAGGCAGGGGGGTGCCTTCGACCGGGATTTCGAACTGATCGACTATCGACTTGTGGAAAGACAAGTTTTCTCTGATTTACGCTCGCTGCCGAGCTTCCTGAACAAGACGGCAGATTTGCGCGCGGACGACGAAAAGAGCTGTTCGAGATTTGAAGAAACAGGTTTTGGCGAATATCCCATGGGAAAAAAAGAAGCGCGGGGCGGCTTGCGACAGGCAGAAATTCCGCGTGGCTTCTACGGAGGGGTTCGTGTGTGGTCATCATACGCCTCCCAAGCATGCATTTACCAGTATCTATGTTTTTTCTTGTCGTCCGTCTGGTGTTTCGATTCGCCGGGACTGCTCTCCTGGGATCGAGATGCCCGTTTCGGGAACACCCCCCTCCCCCCTTCTCCATCCATGTCTGGGGTCAGCCCACACCCACCCACCACCTCAGAATCGGTACCGGCCAGCACGCCAGGAGGATACCCACGCATGCGCAACGGTCTCCACCGAGATGAGTGTCCAGACCGTTCTGTTTTGCGCGTATCACTGGGTCACCGTCTGATTTACTTGTCACATTTTGTCACTGCGCGTGCGAGTGGATGAGGTTGGGTGGTTTAATTGCACACCCTGTCCTACGTCATTTTCTCGTTCGAGCTTCAACCTCTCTCCTTTGGTGCCTTTTTCGGTGCTGTTGGTTCGGCTACTGCCAGCGACTTACACACCTCTCGGCGTGTTCTCCCAACTCTTCGAACAAGGATGTGCTCTGCTGGGCCCCCGTATCAGGTCTTCCCGCCCGGAAGTAAGGCCGCAGACTCCCCCATTCGCATTGATGATTCGTCGCTCGGCGAGAATCAGAGGAAGGCAAGAGCTTCATGCTCATCGACGTCACCTCTTTGATCCCCTTTTTTCTTGCTCACCTTGTCAACGCCTCAGGACCCTGTCGATCGAGGGCGTTCAGATAGGGAGGAATCCTGTTCTCGAGAATCACACACGTTTCCCCCCTCCACCGAATATGGTATCAAGTGATATCACACCGACGGGGTTTGTGTTGGCCTCTGGCTGGTTCACGGTCCCCACGATTCCTGTCTCTCTGTGCCTGTCTCCTTCATGCCTTGCCGGCGTGTAAGTCCACCACGTTTAGGAATTAGTCCATTCCCCTTCCCCTTCCCTTACCTGCATAAGCCGGGTCCCCGTTCAGCTCTCCCTCCCCGGTTTCCCACACCCATTACATCACTGGGTATCACTCCCCCTAGGGGTGTGAGGTAATTGTCGCTGAAAACAAGATATCCTTCAATTCATCGTGCGCGGATCTGATTTAAGTGTTCGTGTGCCTTCGTGTAGTTTTCCCGTTAGTAGCTTTTACTACTTTTGGTTCCCAAGGTTTACCACTTTTGATCAAACACGTCTTGCACCTCACCATACCTCACCCACCACAGCCCCAACGTACTATCACTAGAAAGATACCCCCTCGTCCCCCATTTCGGAAACGATACCATTGAGTGAGCAGGTGTCGTTTGCGAAATAATTTAGCTTCTTGTAAGGGGAAGATCACATTTATGGACGACACAATGGCCAAGAACAAGAACAAGGTATGCCTCTGCTATTCACTGATGTCGCAAGATTCACATGCTGATGAGATGTGGGTAGAAGGGC